TTTTGCTAAGGGCTTTTCCTTTCTTCCTTATCCTGTTAGATGTCACACTTCTTTTATAGATTTCAGTCATAGTAAATGCCATTTTTGCTATACAAGCAATGATTGGCCGTTTTTTCTTTTTAAATGTGTTTTTTTGAATCTAGAGTATATAAAGCTCTCAAGCAGGTCGGGGTTTGTTTTCTAAAGAAAATAACCTCAAGAAAGGCATCTGCTGAATAGACAGGTGAACTTTATACCTGAGCCAACATATACTTTTACTATTTGCAGGGGAATTTTTTTTTTTTTTAGGTTGATAGTAGTTAGTCCCACCAGGTGATCAAACATTGAGTTTGTGAGACAAGCCAGCAAGCCAAGTAGGTTTGCACTTGGGCCCATGCATTTTTTTTTTTAATGATCTTTCTTGTGATTTGTTACTCTACTCTGCAGGCCACTTTGCTATACATACGCTATCCAAGGAACCATCTTAAACTGATTTTTCAACATATTTCTCTTCTACAGTACTTGGATGAATTAAGGTTAAAGGCTCCAAAAGCTGGAATGCCAGCAGGCCATGAGATGAGGCGAGTTCCTGAAATGGGCAAACCTGGTGAAATTTGGGGTATCTTCTGCATGATAGTTTTTTTTTTTTTTTTTTTTTCCTGGGACGTTTGTAGTTTATTTCAATGTGCATGTGACCATGTGCTTAATGGAAATTAAGCAGATTTGGCTTGTGTCGCCAACCTAAAAATAAATGATGTAAGGAATATTTGATTTCTAGAAGTGTTTTTGTTTTGCATCCCATAGATGATGTTCTTGCAATTAGGGCTGCAAGGCTGGTATTCTGCAAAGAGGAAGTACAGTGGGGGAAAGTGCATGGCAGTCGGGAAAGACAATTAGACAGTGTTCTTTGTTTCTTTAATAAATTATTCTTATTAATTACAGTCAGTTTGTGCTAAGGCATTTTTCAAGCCTTGTTTAGAAGTCAGCTCCCATTCACAAGAAGATTGTGCCAGAAGCTGTGTTCTTCTCATGCACTGTTGTTTTACCCAGTCGTGAAATGTATTGAGCAGATTGACTTGTGGATGTCTCTGCAAGGCTTGTTTTTCTTTTTGCAATGCCCTGATGCCCGTTGTTAACACGTGCCCTGCCTTGTACACAACAGGTGTTTGTTCGGTAGTTATTTTATGGGACTTAGAGTGAGAAAAAAATGTTTCCTATCTAGCCAGCCACTGTGAGAACCAGTTGCCTAAAAGGAAGAACCTACCTAGTACCTGAACAGGTGTAAATGGGTGTTTCCTCATGACCCTCCCCAAGCTGTTGTATTTAAAAAGGAGGGGAGGGGGACTCAGTTTAGTGCCATGAAATTTACAATTCAGTTGTAATAATCTAAGATTATTGGGAGAGTGCAAAGGGCAGTGGGAGCTTTTTAGTGGTTTGGCCTTGATGCTTAAAGCTGCTCAGTTGTAGGGTTAAATTAGTTCCTTCAATCTGAGTACTTAAAGTAACTAAATCGTAAACAAAATTTATATTAGATTCTGACAACTAATAATCTATATAAATTATATTAAAGTATCTGGGCAAAAATTTAATTAAAGACAGAAGTACTGTCAAGCCCTGTAAATATCTTGACAGGTCTACTCAAATGGAACTGATATCACGAAATATTTACATATGTCTGGTGTGTTCGGGAACATCTCAGCAGTGCCTGTGCGAAGCTAATTGCACTTTCCTTCCAAATCACATTTTTAATAAAATAGTTTTTTAAAAAAGGGAATATGAATACATACACAGTTGTGTTCCAGTATTCTGTTTACTATTTACTTCTCTATACTCAGAATCATGTTGTGATGAGTGTATTTCATCAAACTGCTGCTAATTCAGATAAATAGCTGAAATGGGATCATTGAATAGAAAGCTCATGTCATTCTGTTTGATTTCAACCGTTTGAAGATATCAGAGGCTAGCATGTTACAGGACAATTTACTGAGGGAAAAATGGATCTGAATGTGGGATTATTGGGCCCTGTTTATGTTCAGTAGAATAGATTTGCTTAAGATAGTACAAAGATCTTCTCCAAGTTTTATGTTTGGACGTATATTTATTTTAATTCCTTGTAAGTCAGGTGGACATCCACATTTTGCCAGATGCTCTGATTTTAGCTAATTTTGTGGTTCACTTTGTTTACTAGGACACTGAAGAATATTTCTGGCATCAGACTGAATTTCCGAAGTGTCCTTTCCCCCTCCCAGCTGTGCAATTGAGTCATAATGTGACTTTCTCTGCTCCAGGTTCCCTGCTTTTGAATTAGGGGTAGTATTTAACATATGTTCTTTGAGCCTAGGGATCCAAGGATACAGGGCTTTGTTATCACTCACATTTTTAAAAGATGTTCTTGGTGCTCTCAGGACAGTGACCGCAGCTTTTGTGGGGGAGGATGTGATGTGAGTTTTGCTTGAGTGGCCTCTGCGCTGGTGCCTACCTCCTGATGACCAGCGGCACTGGTGGCTTCCCCTTCTGGTGGTGAGCACAGACATGGAAGTGGATGCTCATGTCTGAAGTGGAGGGACGTTGTTGGTCCTAATTCAGCCTGGTTCAAAGTGAGGTCCTTGCTCACCTGCATCTGTATCTCTGTGTGTGTGTGTGTGTGTGTGTGTGTGTGTGTGTGTGTAGGTTATTAAAATACAGATCCTTGAGTCAGGATTTTTGCTGACTGACATGGTAACGTACATTTGTAACAAACTTCCCTTGATGATTCTGATGCATACTAGAGACCTGTGAATTAAGTGATTTATTCTGCCAGATTTCTGGAACTGAAATCTCTATCTTCACTTGGATTTTACTGATTATTTCTTTGTTTTTATCTTTAGGCCCATCCCGTGTTATTTTTTAATATATTTGGATTTTGATTACGAATGAAAAACGGTGGTTTTTAACCAAGCACGAGTATTGGAATCACAGCAGAGCTGTTGTTCCCAACACAGACACAGTTGCACGACTCCTGGATGTGCCATATCTGGGGTGGGGCCAGCATCTGTGTTTTTAAATAGCATCCCACATGGTTCTGATGCCCACCAAAGTCGGAAAACTGGACCCGTCAATTATCAGAGTTAGAGGAAAGCCTGCAACCCGTTTTAAGGGTTTAATTGAGTTGGTTGGCCATTGTGAAACTTAAGAGAGGAAAACAGGGCTCCTTTTTCAGGAGGTCACAAAAAGAAACCTTAGAGACTTAGAGAAACAGAGGCAGAACAAGAGCCTCACAGTTCAATAAAGGGATAGGAACAACCTGGAACATTGGTGTTTTTCACCAAATGTCAGTATCAGATAATTTCCTTTTGAATTTTGTCTTGCCTGCATCCATGTTTCCCAATGGATGTTGTCATGCTGTAGCTACCAATTAGTGTCAGATGGCTCTCTAGAATTTTTTTTTCTGAGTATTCCATCTTAATTTTAAAATCATAACTGTTTGCTCTTTTAGATTAACCCTGCTGGCAGAAGTGTTTTGGTTTTCCCGAGCATCTTGGGAAATTCTCTATCGTATGTGATGGGGCATGCACGAATATTGATGGAAATGGCCTAGCCAACGATGCCACACAAATAAAGAAACCGGAATCCTAAGAAGAAGGCATCCTACAAGATTATGAAATAAAGGAAGATAAAATGCTAAGGAGGCTTGTTTAAATATTCAGGGCTTCAACTAAAGATCTAACCACTAAGATCAAAAGAGTTATTTAAGTAAAAGTTGTTCAGACATTTTTTCATCTGTATTAATAATGTGCCTTTTGAAGTTACCTGATAATAATGTGTCCAGAATGCCCACACCTAATTTTTAATTTCCATTTTGACTTTGGGTGTGGCTTTATTTTAATAGCTGCCAAAAAGTTGGCAATTGTTTTTATGTTTAGAACTTCAAGTTAGCTTTGTCTGTAGGTTTAGGTAGCATTGGGGGTATACCTCTAATAAAAACTTTCAAAATTACCATTCTGACCCTGAGGCACTTAAAAAAAACTCTCAAGGGCCAAATTTTAAAAGTAGAGAGTGTCTACCACTGCACAAAGAATCTCTATGAAAGATGAAACGTGGAGCTGATTGAAAGAATAGAGGGCGCAATGGTAGATGACACATAGTTACCACTGTCGCTGGTAATCTACAGCTTGATGTGAAATCATTCCGCCTTGTTTGTTGAAACGTTAATCATTTCATTAAGAAAGGTTAAGTAATTAACTGATACTTCATTAGGGAATCAATGACAGACCTTTTTTTAGTGATGTATGATAGACATTTTCTAATAGAAAGTTTGCCCCATTTAATTATTTGGAAAGAAGCTAGTTGAGCCTTGGGAAGGAGGGGTGGGGCATCTTCAGATAACATCGCTGTCCATAAGCAACTTTAAATAATTTTGGAGAAAATGGTCTATTAGAATAGAAAATCGTTCAGTCCCCAGTTTTCTTTTATGGGCTCTATCAGGCATGTTGTTGCAGACCTGCTGTTGTTTTGCATGCCTTCTCTGGGTTTAAGGAGGGTTCAGCTGCTTAAATGTGTTCGTCTTATTTTCTAAATAATGGCTTTTGTTGCAGTGTGATGCATGTTGACAGTAAACGTGCAGCCGTAACTTTGGTAAGCTTACAACAAATTCTTATACTTGTAGAAGCAAGTTATCCTCCTTGCTGCTGACTTGGGGTGCTTCTCCCTTTTGTCTTGCTATCCTTATGGCAATTGCAGCAAAAGGTTTAAGTCTTCTGGGATGAGGATGGGGTGGCAGTGGGGGTGGAGGGACTCTCCACCTGGCGAAAGTTCACCTTTTCTGATACCTCTTTGTCCTGAAATCACACCCAAGGTATGCTTCTTGCATATTTTTCCGTGTGTGTATTTATGTCAACTCAAAAAAGTACTTAAGAGAGAAATCTCATTTCTGTGTTTGCTTTTATTTTGCTTGAGAAGCAGGACAGTCACATTTACTAAATACAGAGTATCTCTTTGTTAGAAGTGACTTTCCTACAGCAGACTCCTGAGGTTAAAGAATTCTTTAAATATAAGGTAATCCTAAGAACTTTTGAAAAGCGGTGGAAATAGATTTTATATTGGGTTGCTGGGTTTTTCAGTATTTGTAACCAGTGCCCGAATTATTGAATAGAGTGTGATGCCTTGGCCTCAAGCACTTTGTTACGTGAGTTGAGAACAACTCAACTTTCCTTTTTAAAGAAAGAAATCAGGCTGATATTTACAAAGATATTTATCTTAAAACTGTGTGCTTACGTTTCCATTTTCATTGTGAGATATGTAAGGCACAAAAAAGGAACAAAGAATAAATCAGTGAGCACCCATGTACCTGTAGCTCAGCTTAAGAAAGAAGATGCTGCTGGTTCAGGTAGGAGAGGCTCCTGGAATATCCCATCCTCATCTTACTTCTGTCTTTCTTTCCTAGAGGTTACTTGACCACTGTTTTGCAGCTGGGTGGTTTTCATCTCGTGTAGTTCTTTGTATTTTTAATGTGTATGCATGTACAGGATTCCTCAAAATACAGGATTTTGTTTTGCATGTTCAAGATTTGTTCCGATACCATCCTACTATATGTGTTCTTTAGTAACTTGCTTTTGTAAAAAAAATCAATAGTTAAATTCATCCATGTGGATACATGTAGCTATAGCTTATTGATTTTCCATGTGAACATTTTGAAATACTGGATATTAATTCAAGACAAGTTCTTTAAATTTGAGCCTAAAACCCAGCAGCACTCTGTACATTGAAAATTTCAGATTCATAAGAAACCATCAGTCCTGACTGGAACTTCCTAATTTGTTCATTTGCCTGTGTTTTGGGGGAAAAAACTTTAAAACCTCAACCATTTATCAAGGAATTTGATTAAAAAAATAATCTATCAAGTGGCTGATCTCTTACATTAAGGAAAAAAACAGGCAAAGCATTCATTTGAAGGAGCCTAGCCATTTTCTCTTTCTTATTTAAAGACTTGGCTTAGAACTTAACAGTTACATATGCAGGGTAGCGAGTTAAAAAGCCATGTTTAATTAACAGGCGCTTTATACTTCTGTATCCTTGTTATGATATAGCACCTTGTTCTTCAGTGTAGAAAGTGATTTCTGCATATTTTAAAGGACTGGCATCTTTATGGTAAGAAAGCCATATAAATAAAGATATACTTAGATGAAAATCGGAACATGTTTTTAAAATAGTGTGTGTCTACTTTCATCTCTGTTATCAAACTTGCTGCATAAGCCAGAGTTGATGCTCTGTGATTATGCTAATGACCAAAAGAATCGATGATGCGAGACTAGATGAAATCCATGGTATAATCGGGGAAAGTTATCAGTTTTTTTGTCATTAAGTATTAGTGATAAATAATACACTGTTCATTTTGAGTAGATAGAACATATTTAATTCTGATGTACAGAGTTTCAATTTAGTCAGGCTCATTGCTGAGTAAAATGATCATCTTTTGTAATTTAAGAGGAAAGAGAAAAGACATTTTTGTCAGCCTGGCTAACTGACTCGGGCCATCTAGAAATGTTTACCTTGACCAGCCAGGGAAGATTGGAAAAACTTAATTTTTTTTCCTCCTAGACAACTTGGTTATTTGTACTGACATTTTATTAAGAATATCAGATACTCAGTAAATAGCATAAATGACCAGAGATGTTAAACAAAATGAGTGTGAAGGTAGACTGTTTCCCTGAAGAATGGGGAAAATGATAACAAAGGGGCAATGTTTGGATAACGCTCTTTTTTAAATGACTGGTCTGCGTTAACCAGGGACTATCAGAATCGGTATCACCCATTAGACAGCAGTTTTAATTTTTTTTTAATTGAGTTTTTCATATCAAATAAGATCATACTTAGTAATGGTTTAAAGAGAAGTAATACTTGTAACTTAGCATCTTTTCCTGGGTTGCTAAAACCTTAAGGGAAAAACAACTGATTCTACCTTCCTTGTCAACAAAGCATTTCTAACACATTTCTCTGTAACAGACATTTCTCCGTGGATAGAGTTTAGCAGTTTTACTACTGTAGGACAGTACCTAGTGAGAAGAGAGAAAATAATAGATTAATTAGCATTGTTTTGTAGGACTTGAAAAGTGATTGAAGTCTACGAGAGAAAAGTGATTGAAGTCTACGAGAGAAGGAAATCAGATTGATGTTATTTTTAAAAAATGCATTACAAAAATGATTCTCTTCACAGCAAAGGCTCCTACCCAGGCTGGGGCCAGCTGTGCTCTGCCATTTCCCTGCCACAGCCTTGTCCATCCACGTTGGCTCTTACCAGCAGTACCATCTGCTGCTCCAGCAGTGGCCTTCTCTATGGTAAGGCAGGCCAATTGGGTCAAATCTTGTGATCTGGCAGATGTCCACTGAGAGCTAAGATCGGGCCAGGCTCATTTTTATGTGTGTCCAAAGCCAAGATTTCAACTTGGTGAAAGGCTGTGGAATTTATTTCCCCAAGTGTTGCCCAAACTCTGTTCTTTTCTTCAACTGCCTCCTTGGGCTGAGATGATTGCTTAATGCTCTTAATTATGCCGGATCCCTCTGTATTTTCGAATACCTGTGGGTAATTCAGATCATGGGTGGTCACAGAGGCTGGCTCAACGAACAGCTTCCCTTTCTGAATGGGAAAATCCCAGGGAGTCGGACCATGGACTGTGTGTCAGGGAGCTGAGTGGAGGCTGAAAGAGGATGGAACGCTTCCCTTGAACTTGAACTGGCATTGTTTTGCATCCAAGTGTCCTTCACCCTTGGATTGGGGAGAGTCTTACAATGAATAACTCAGAAAAAAATGTTTTAAAAATATTCCTAGATTGTAAGATATCTATAGCCCTTATCCATAGCCATATCTTAAAAAAAAAAAAAAAAAAAAGGAAAGAAAACAGGAAACAAAGTGTTTCTTTACCCAGGCCAAGTGAGCACTAAAGTTTCCTGTAAGAATGAGGAGGCAGTGGGGGCCACTTTGCTTTCGAGACTTGTAGTATTAATGGAAGAACTTCTGGGACTCCCCTGACCCCTCAGGTAGGGACTTGTCAGAGCTCCAGAAGACCTAAGGGACAATTAGAGCCGAGTCACGCGTTTGTCCGTGAGGGGAATGGGGTTGAAAGTGGAGACTGATTTTTCACTGAGTCACATAGCCATTGGGATCATAATGATTTCCATAACCATATTTACATATACTTGTGAATGCAGATATCTACATTGGCACATATATGTGAGTGTATCTCTTTGTGTGTGTGTATATATATATATGAATATACTATTCATATTTAAAAAGATAAAATATATACATAATGTTCCTTATACTGTTTTGTTACATGCTGCTCTTTCACTCTGTAGCAGAGTATTTTCCAGTATAATACAACTGTCTTCTGTATGATTGTTAATAACTACTTGCTCTTCCATTGTATGCATTTATATTTGGTTTTCCTTCTTTCTTTGAGGGCAGCACTGTAAGGACCAAATGGTCTCTGCATTTGTAATTTACATTACATGAGATGGGAATAAGGACATCATGGGCCTGTGGCGTTGCGAATGTTTTCTGTGGATATGTGTGCTATATGTCCGCATGCACTTGTGTACACATGTGCATATTTGGTATCTGGAACTGCTTTTTTATAAGTAGTTCAGACTCTCACAGCTCCTTGAGTTTAAAAATGCATCCTGTCCCTTCATACCCCCATTTCTGCCCATTAGTGACATCTGTGTCTTGCTTTTTCTTGAGCTCTGACAGTCATACTTAACACATTTTGGTTTGCAGCTTGGAGCATGTATTAGGGATGAAGTGAAAAAAAATGCTATTCTCTGCATTAAATATAAATTTTTGAGAAACTAGGACAACCAGGTCTCATAGAGTGTAAATAGCCCATGAAACAAGTTGCCTGTAAAAATGTAGTATAAAAATCCAAGTCTTATGAGGCATTTGAAAATTCAGAGAACAGGCTGGGCACAGTGGCTCACGCCTGTAATCCTAGCACTTTGGCAGGCCAAGGTGGGTGGGTCATCTGAGGTCAGGAGTTCGAGACCAGCCTGGCCAACATGGCGAAACCCCATCTCTACTAAAAATACAAAAATTAGCTGGGCGTGGTGGCTCATGCCTGTAATCCCAGCTACTTGGGAAGCTGAGGCAGGAGAATTGCTTGAACCCGGGAGGCAGAGGTTGCGGTGAGCTGAGATCATGCCACTTTATTCCAGCTTGGGTGACAGAGCAGGACTGTCTCAGAAAAAAAAAAAAAAAAAAAAAAATTCAGAGAACAAACAAAAAGCAGAGGACCAGCTGTGTAATCTGCTGGCCCATTGAAAAATTAAAATTTGGGGTCCCTATTTAAAAAGTAGTAGGCATTTCAAGTAGGTGACGGCAGAGCATTAAACCAAGGGTGGGACTCTTCTGAACTTGGGGCTTTTCTGAATGTGGGGGCCTGTGGGACTGCACAGATCACATGTCCATGAAACCAGCTCTGCCTGAGATTCAGAAACTGTCTTGAAGGGCTTTATTTCTCTGCAGCAAGGGTTCTTCCTCTGTAGAACAGTAGGACCAGGTTGGGACAGGCATAGCAGCCTGAGGCCCTCCTGTACAGCTTGCACTCATCCATCTCAGTGTACTCTATTGCTGAATCCAAACTGGGTTCAAATTCCTCAGGAAGCACGTACCTTCTCCTGGATATGCATTGAGTGCAACATCTTAGCCATTTCCACGACTGGGTATTCTCTGCGGGCTTTCTGCAAGGTCCCATAAGGGAGGTGAATCCTGTTTCTTTCCTTCCCTCCCCTCCCCTTCCCTTCCTTTTCTTCCTTTTCTTCCTTTTCTTTCCTTCCTTCCTTCCTTCCTTCCTTCCTTCCTTCCTTCCTTCCTTCCTTCCTTCCTTCCTTCCTTCCTTCCTTTCTCTCTCCTCCCTCTCTCCCTCCCTCCCTTCCTTCCTTCCTTTTTCCCTCCTTTCCTTCCTTTCTTTCATTTTCTTTCTTTTCTTCTATAGCCCTTCTCCCAGGATTTTACCATTTTGACTGTATCTTCCATCTCAGTCACCTTCCTTGCCCTTCTTCATTGTCACCTGCTTCATTCCGGAAGAGGCCTTTAGGGCCTACAACCTGAAGGCAGCCTCAGGAAAGAATGTCCACTCTTTTCTTCCTTTTATCCCAAAGTGTTAGTTGTTAAATAAGGAGATTCTTTCTGGAAGTGCACTGTTTGTTTCACTGCTTTCAGGAATTGCAAGCTAATCAGGCCCCATCAAGTAGAGATGTGGTTGACCAAAGCCTTACAGAATGCAAAAGTCATTTTATGGACATGTGGTACGGCTGCATTGGACAGTTGGGGCTCCCTCATTGATGAAGCTAACATGAGCTTCTCTGAGGGTATAAGTCCAACTGGTTTGAAGCCAAGAATGGGTTTTTTGGTAGTACCAAATTTTAGAATCTTAAGATAATTAGATCATTCTGGAATGTTTTCACCTCAGACTAAGTAGCTTGCGTTCTCTCCTGTAATATGCACTGCTTATCTGCCACTTAGTAGCTTTGGCATCCTGAGCAAATGACGGAGTCTGTGCGTTTTGGTTTATCTTGGTGGCAGTGATGGAGCCTGATGTTAGGATTGATGGGAGGCATAAGTGAGCAAATGTGTGCAAAGCCCCTAACAGTGTTGGCTCATGGTAAACACTTGATTCTTGGTGGCTGTTTATTAATCATGAGAACTGTTTCCGTTACCTGAAGTTATGTTTTGTGGAACAATGTATTGACAGTCCACTTTCTCATTTTTCTTTAGAGTGTTTAATGATGGAAATGGGGAAGGTTAAAAATCTTATCTCCCATGCTTTCTTGCTTTGTTCCCACTTTCCCCACATTGTTTGGGCCGTCAGCCCCTTTTCTCCTATCCTCTTCCTTCCAGCACGATAGCTCCTCCTCACACAATGGTGTGCAGCAGTTTTGAGGGGGCTGTGAATATTGGGAGGGGGTGCTTTGTGAGGTGAAGGAGAGACTGATTCTGAGAGCCCAGGGAGAAGATGCGTGTGTGTGTGTTTTAGGGAACAGCGTGTGATGAGATTATTAGGAGTACCCAGGGCCCAGGCTCAAGGAGACACTTCTCATGTCCCTGTGGCCTTTTGAAGCTGAAGATGACGAGAGCAGGTAGGCACTGGTGTCAGCCCACTGCCTTCAGGAGGATGCTCTTTCAGAATCAACGGAGGGCACAGTGCTTTTTCTCCAGAGAACAGCATTGACTTCCCCACACGTGGGTCTGGTACATAATAAGGAAAGAAAGGAAAAATAAGTTGAAGGAAGGAAAAATGAGTGATCCCCTGTTGGGCTTCTCTCCCTCCCAGTCATAGGTTTTGAACATCAGAGCATTCCTATCTATTTTCCAGATTGCCCGTTGAATTGCCTTTTCACAACAACCTTAATTTTCACACTACAGGGACTGGAAATGATACTTTAGTTGGGTCAGACGTTAGACTACACAAGGGTTTTATAGTCAGGTTTGGGATTTGAATGTGTTTACGTAGTCTGTCTGTATTATTTTTCCCTGGCAAAGTGTCTGGTGTTGGGTTCCTTGGGGAACGAGAACGTGGCTCAGGACAGCTCACCATTTGCAAGCCAGTTATTAACTTGTAATCCACTCACCGTTTTCAATGTCTCTATTTCCCCACCTCTGTCAGGGCAGTTGGAGAATAAACTGGCTGTGCGGCTTTGCAGGTTGGGAAGAGGGACCTCACATTTGCCAACTGTCACTCCCTACCGTGATCATAACCCCCGTGAGAGGCACATTCAGCCACATCTGCGCTGAGTGCATGTGGAGCGGCTCGGGCAGAATCTTTAACTGCTGTCATCGTGGTGGGTGAGAGGCGTGGATGTTCATATGACTGTGCGCTTTTGGGGGATTATACACAATAGCGTGGAGAATGAGGTTGTTTCATTGACCATCGTGGAAGTAACACGTGGATCTGTGTTCATTTATTGACTCATTCACTCGATGATTTATTTATTCCTCATTTGTTCACCTCTCCTCTCATTTGTGCCTTTATCGACCCCAGATGACGTCTGGGGCAGAAAGCATTGCTCCCTGATCACCCAACACCACCCCCTACCTTATTTTTGGACATCCTCAGTTGGACATTCTAATACAAACATCATTTAAACATCCAAACCCAACGTCATTATGCATAGAGATCTTTGTCAACAAGCTTATGAGATTCATCTGCTTCAACCTTTTATTTACTAAATAGGTGGCCGCCCAGGATCAAATGGGCCATCTTTATGCATAGTTACCATTTCTGCAACAAATGTGGCTTTTAGTTAATTTTGACTACCGAAAATATACCAGGTACCATACCAAGTATAAGCTGCCGCTTTTTCTTTCTAGCCTGAGCACTTAATTAAGACCTGACAGATTGATTTTTCCATTAGGCCAGAAGGCAGGTGTCGTCTTGAGTAATTCTTGATTTGAATTTCTTATTAAGAGTCTGTTTAGCTCCCCCGTCACTGCCACCAAATATGTGTATTTAGCAGAGACTCTCTCTCACCCAACGAGTTTTACACAACGAATTGGTAACAACCAAAATAAAATATCCTAACAATAAGGTCCTGTTTCAAAGGTACCAATAAGGAATGTTACCTTCCTGCTGCTGTGTGCCTGGCATCCCTGTAGAAGGCCCGCCCATGGGTTAGCGTGGTCTGGTAGTCTGAAGCCCATGGAGCCATCATTTCTCATCCTTTTGTAACCCTTAACACTGCAGTGTGGACAGACTGACGGAAGACATTGGTATCTTTATGGCCTCTAACTCCTGAGTGGATGATTTGATTTCTTTCGTTTTTCTTTTTTCTTTGAGACAAAGTCTTTCTCCGTCGGCCAGGCTGGAGTGCAG